CTGGCATTTTCTTCCACCAGAGATAGGGCTTCGGTCTCTCCGGGCAGCTTCAACACTGCACACCTGCATCAACAACAGTTGTGACATTAAAAACAAACAAAGTATCGATCTAGCAAGTGAAACCAACTGAGAAAAATAAATTCAAATATGCTGTTCATGATCTACGCAAAAGATAAAACTCAACCATGTACAATTAAAGACCGAATCAAAACATAGACGACAGTTCAAATAGATTGGTAAACACTTCATGAACACATTGAGTGATTTGTGGATTTTTAGATGAAAGTCATGCATAAATTTTCGTCCATATACTAAGCCTTTCGAGGTTGAGACATATTTATAAAGCAACTCCACACAAGAGGTAAGCAAACCAAGCTCCCAAAAACATGATACCAAGAATCTTCTATTTTGACATCCTAGAAAACATGATTAGAAAAACCTATTCACATTAAGTCTCGGAAGGTAAAAGAATAATGCAAAGCGATCCTTACCTTGAATTGATATTCAGTATTTCTACATCCTTCCCCACCAGAATATCCTTGAGCGAAATAAAGCTCGGAACATGACTAATTGCCTCAGTAGATGAATATTTGATCTCTCGAAGCTTAAGATAAATGAATGGACTGTGGTTTCCTGGGTGATGGTAAAAGAAGGCATTGAGACGAGAATTAAACATCAACAGACCATCATTCTCAAAGTATTTCATGGGTATGTATACGCCACCTGGCCACCTTCGATAAAAACCAGTACGAATCGAAATCTTCTTCATCCAAAGTTTTTGTGAACCAGAATCATTCATTACCCACACATTGATTTCAAAACTCTCAGCTTTACACAGACATAGACTACCTCCCAAATCTCCCATGCTCACATCACGACCATCCTCCTGTCCAGAAGGCACTGATGGAACCGATAGGAACTCTTCAGTATCCAAGTCAAATGAAATCACACTAAAACATGGCCACTCATGGCAAAGCCAATAAAGCATTCCTTTCACACAAGTGGGGAATGATAGCTCAGAGTCTGAGCAGGAAGCAGTGCCAACAGATTTCCATGAACCTGTTCCCAG